GTCGAAATTTCTTATGTAACCCTATCTGCATTTGTGACTAAAATTAATTTTAATATTTAAAAAATATTTGAAATCAATTATAAATGCAGATTTCATTAATTTCTGCATTGAAAGTTTGCTTTAAAGTAAACTTTTAAAGTCCAAAGTTAGCATAAAATGTCAGAAATAGTAATTAAAATGTCAGCAGATTAAGTTTAATGCAAATAAAAGTAATCAATTAAGTTCAGTAGATGTTTATTTTTAGAAAAAATATATTTCTCCGGCATTGGCAGATTTTATTTGAAACAGAATAGAGTAAAATTAAAACATTTTTAATGTTTAATTTATTAAAACTTTTAAAATCTGCCGAAATTTCTTAAGTAACCCTATCTGGATTTGTGACTGAAATTAATTTTAATATTTAAAAAATATTTGAAATCAATTATAATTGCAGATTTAATTAATTTCTGCATTGAAAGTTTGCTTTGGAGTTAATTTTTAAAGCTTTTTTTTGCGTAAAAAATAAAAATTTAAAATTTTTTTCTACCAGTGCTGGAAAAATATATTTGATGTAAAAATGAACATTTATTGAACTTAATTGATTACTTTTATTTGCATTAAACTTGATCTGCTTCACTATTTTTGACATTTTATGCCAATTTTAAGCAAACATTCATTGCAGAAATTAATTAAATCTGCAATTATAATTGATTTCAAATATTTTTTAAATATTAAAATTAACTTTAGTCACAAATCCAGATAGGGCTACTTAAGAAATTTCGAGAGATTTTAAAAGTTTTAATAAACTAAATATTAAAAATGTTTTAATTTTTATTAATTCTGTTTCAAATAAAATAATATGGATGACGCTCAAACCCCGGATTTTTGATTGGTTTGCTAAAATTGTGATGCAATGGGAATTCTTCATTTTGTACCAGCTTTTATTACTTTAACAAGGGATGAAACAAAAAATTTTGCAAAAATTAAAACTTTATTCGCATTTAATAATTAATTAAAAGAAATTTTTACATAATTCAAATTTATTTTTTTGTCTAAATTACTGAAACTGAAAAAAATGCGGGATTTTCACAAAGTACTTAGATTAGCAATTGAAATTATTTTCAGTGTCAGAAATGTTATAATTAATGTAATGAATCTATTAGTTATATATATTATTATAACATTTCTGACACTGAAACCCACTGCATGCACTTTATTGCTAGGACATAGATCTTTACTATTTGTAACGTCTATTAATGCCTCAAATATTAAGTCTATTACAGTTTTATTCTTATAACATAAATTAGCCTTATCCCTTAAGCATTCACCTAATATGTCTTTAACAAACTATTAGTTAATTTTTTATTGTTTTCTTCTCTTACATCTTTTTCCTTTATATTCCAATTCCTTATAAAGTTTATTAATAAGATTACTTTCATTTTTAGTTAATGGTGCTCTTAGTTTCATCAAAAGCGAGTATTCTGTAAGAAAAAAAAGTTATCTTCGTCGAGTCTAAATCGCTTAAATTGATATCAGTATTACTTTCATCTGAGCTAGAATCATTTGAATCAGTAGTTTCAACCAGCCAACAACTAACTAACTTATTATTGTAAATCAACACCTGACAGCATGCCACAATCCTCAAAATTGGAATCAGCACCTATCACCTAATCATTTTCATCTGATTAACTAGTTATTTGGTTAACGCACTTTCGACTTCAGCTCTTAGAAGTATATTTTCTCGTATATTCATCAAGTATATTTTCTCGAACACTCCCGTAATTTCTGTACTGCACTCGCTATTTTAGCATTTTAGCACTTCTTAACCATAACTTCTGTCTGTATAATTATTGCTTTCTGGCTATCCTGAATAAGTAATACCGGAAGTATGTTGATTACAATTCTCATCTGAAAAGTGATTAAGTTCTCAGCTGATTATTATGACTAGAAATATAATCTGAAATTGTATATTCGTCACAATTTTGTGTTCCTACTTTTTTTTTTCTCTTAGATGGCTTTTCAATTGATGGTGTTCGTTATTTCCTTAAAAACAAACTTCCCAGAATTCGTTTGTCATCTGCCGGCAACTCTGAGCTTGGCAAGAAGCTACACAGTTCTACTATACCTATAAAACAAAATTATATTAAGTCTATTACAGTTTTCCTACTATATTTATAACATAAATTAGACCAATCACCAAGTATTCACCATAATATGGATAGGTTTATGTATTCTACCACAGGTATTTATTTCTTCATCTTACTTAACTTTAACAGATATGGCTTAAGATATTTACCAGTAATACTTCCTGTATATCTATTATTTCTTCTGGCAACTACTTTCCCATCTTTCGTTCCACCTTCTGGACCAATGTCTATTATATAATCCTCAGTTTTTATAACGTTCAAGTTGTGCTCGATACCTATAACAGTATCCTAAATCAACTAACTCATGGAGTTATCTTCAGTAAATTATTCACATTCTCAAAATGCAATCCCCTCGTTGCTTCATCAAGAACAGTAGACTGTTTTGATAGCTCTCTGGATAGCTTTACCTCTAGACAGTTGTTCCTTCTATATATAGTTCTATATATCCAAGTCCATTTCTCGAAAAATGACCAATTTTTCATTCAGCATTGAAAGGTTGTCAAAAAAAAATCACACGCCTGATCTATTGTCATATCAAGCACGTCAGAAACTGATTTTCATTTGTAAGTAACTTCCATTGTTTCTCGAAATGCATTTCTACCCTTAAATGCTCATCATCTTTACACGCTTCTCACCTTTCCTCCCTTGGAAATCGGCTGACTCTAAGAGTATTCCTCACATCATTGAAAATGCCAACATATATTGCTGGATTCGATGTCGGAGTTCTATCAATTGGCAATTGGTTTATTTCTATAATTTTTTTATCTATATATTCAAAGCCTTCTAATCGCATTTGCCATACTTCGAGAATGAATTATATATTTTGCGCGCTAAATATTTATATAATGTTTCTACAACTAAACTTCATTTGTTTTTCCCCTCCCTTCCTGATATCCCAGTTACACAAATAAGATTTCCTTATAGGACATCTATATTTTCTATATTTTTAAGTTATTTTTTTTTTCCTTGCATTTATCATCTATATTTTTTAAGTTATTTTCCCATGCATTTATTACTTTTATGTACTGAATTGTTTGCTTGCTGAAATTAAGATTGTTTTCTCTTCCACTTAAATATTGCTCTGTTATGCTTTTCGAGGTCCCATGCATTTGATTTGATTGTTCCTTTCTGCAACAATTATTTCCTCCATTTACCTCAGCTTCAGGACCAATATCAATTGCATAATCAGCAGCTATTATTGTATCTTCATCAAATGATCACGGTGTTTCTCACATCTTTCAGGTTTTTAAATTTGGCAGTTAATCGATTGTAGTTGAAAATTGGCTGCTAGTATAAAGGAGAATGATAATCATTCCGAATGGAACTCTTTGGAGAAGAAAACATATTTGTGCTGTCTTCGATGATTGGTCCGATTAACTCCAAAGATTTTCTTTCATTGGCATATTTCTACTCAGAAATGATTTTGTTGAATGAAAGAAATTTCCTCTGTTCTTCAACACTGATTAACGAAAAGCTGCGTTGAAAATAATTCCAATTGCAAAAACGCTTTTTCAGTATCGGCTGTTATTATATTTTCCATCGTTCTAAGTTGAATGAATCAATACGCCTGCTAAATCTGAGAGTGCGATCGGATTGATATAGAACATCGTTCAAAATTTTCATATCTTTGGTGTGAGCAGAAGCATCGTAAGAGATTCTTAATTTTATTGTCGATTTATTCGGGTTAATATCGCATGATGTGTCTAATAATATATAAAGCCAATCTGATTCATTTCTAGGACTACTACTTTAATTATATTGAATTCCATTTGTTCTTGAATTATTTCCTAGTAACGTTTGAGAAATAATTTATTAGTATAAAGTCCTCCAATTAATATTTCTAATCTTTCGAGACAAAAAACCCTAATTATCATTTAGGCAAATCTTTGAACTTTTCCAGGACTAAAATACTTGATATCTTCCACTTTGCATAGCGATTGTTCCTTTGAAATATCTCAACTGTTGCTTGAAATATCTCAACATCTCGACTCCTTATTTCCAGAATTTTCCCATTTTTGGAATCATGGTGATATTGCTTACATGCATCGATTTGGTTTCAACAATAACTATCCCCAATTTAATTTGTCTTCGTCATAATTGTGAAATTTATTTTTATATTCCTTCCCAGTTATTATAGGATCAGCATTTGTATGGATTACGTAGAATCCTGATACCATTTGACGGACTTCATTTGAAGATATAAAATTGAAAAAACAGTCTACTCCAACGAATATACAGAGCCTTTTCCAATATCTTCCTTCCTCTTCAAGCTTTTCTTGAGCTATTATTTGTGGCAAATCTTTGCTGTTGAATTAATTGCTTGTAGTTTCTCTGTTCTGTTGAATTAATTACTTGTAGTTCTTCTGTTACTTAATTTAAATAATAAACTTTTAAATAATAGTAATTTAATTTAATATATATCTTTTTTATATAATTTAATATATACCTTGATGTGTAGTACCACTTATTTAATGTGCAGTATAACATATTTAGTATGTGGATGATTGAATATTGTAATTAATACTTCATAGAGATTTAATTTCACAGTCTAATTTTCTTAATTGCTTCCTTAGTTCTTAATAATAACGGTATAGGAGAAATGTTAGAGAGAATCCTCTGATTTTGAAGAACAGTGGAAGTACGGTAGTAACTTGTAAAAAACAATATTTTCGAAAACAGGATTGATGACTTCAAGCAATGCAATGCATATAACCTTCTTTATCGCAAACTTTATTTCCAATTCCATATTATTATTAGATTAAAAACGGGAATAAAAATGCTGAAAAAAAAAATACTTATTGTGAAGCATGTTTATTTATTTAAAAAATAACAAATTTCAAAATATTCAAAGATTATTTAATGATCTTTATAAAATTAGACAGAATCATTACTGGTGTACGGTCTTACCCTGTAGTCAGTATAAAAGTCGGCTGATGATGAACGTGTAAAAACGTTCAGGTTAATATTGTCACAACTGAAATATAATACATATCGATAAAATTAACAAAAAATCGAAAAATTTACCAAATGGAACAAACAAAAATCAGAAGTGAAAAGTGGGAATTAAGTTATTTAAAACCTGATTTTCTAATGTTTCGTAGTAAAAGAAACTAACATGGATAATCCCGGATTTATTATAAAATCACGCAACCCATCAATCTGGCGTAAATCATTCGCTATCGCTCTGATATCACCATCAAAAGAATCATGGAAAACGCAGCCATCCTCAGTTTCGGTCCAGTTAATAAAATAATTCTGCTTGGTTGAAATTAACAGTTTAGGTCGTTTCAAATTCAAGCGTTGCAAATTTTCAATATTAACCTGAAAACTAATTTCAGAATGTTTTCATGTCTTCCTGTCAAACTGACTACATAATTATCAGCAAACAGTAGACTTAATTTTTAAACCTGTTAAAGTGCTGAAGCTTCAATTTCTTCTCCTCGTTTTGGAATAACATCTCTCAGATGTTTATTTTTTTTGTCATCAATTCGACAATTTCTAAAGTTTTTCAGTAATTATCTCCATATTAAATGGCTCGACATAACCATCAAAATTGAAACTAAAAACCATCCAGACGAATTCTGAGCAATGTTTTCGATGAATAAATATCATGCATATTTTCGATTAACGATACCTTATTTCCATGAAGTATGAGAAGACGCAAATCTGGTAAATCATCGTCATCTAAATTATTCCAGACTTCGTCTTTATAACAATCTCCGAAATTGCTTAGGTCCAGAAAATCTAAATGCCTGAAACAAAAATACTTGCAATTATTATTAAAATTTCTGCATAAGAGCAGTTTACAGCGTGTGAAATGAAAAGAACTGCAAGAACTGCAGCTTAATCCTTGAACGTTGAAAAAACAATCAAAAAACAGGAAAGGAGCTCTCATAAAGAGGTTATAAAAAAAAAAACTTACTTGAAATTACTAACAATGAAAGGCATAACTCCATCATTGAACGTCAAATATCCACTGAATGGCAAACCCAGTGTTTTCAAATTTGGACAACTGTAATGATTTATAACATACTGTAATATAAATTCATAATATAAACTATTTACCATTGTATATTTCTTGTCGTGAAAGACGAAATATTTAAATTATTATATCCAAAACTAACAAATTCCTCTTATCTAATTCCTTTTCCTCGCACAACAAAAATCCTTTGTTAGCAAACCCTTTGTTAGCAAAACCCTTTATTAGCAGTCTTTGTTTCATATCATTTAAATGTCCTCCTCTGCCGAATATCTGGTCAGTTCAGTTCTGTATATAATCTTGTTAACAATCTTCTTTGTTCATCCATGAGAAATCCTCCCATCTAATCTCCATTCGTTAAATCAGTCTTATATATAACCCAACCAATCCTTCCATAACCATCATTTGCTTTATGTTTTGGGTGGTATTGGGATGCGTCTAATACTTTACAATTTTGTGTTATTTGACCATTTTTATATTATTGCATGTTTTATAATTATATCTTTCGTTACGCGTTTGTTAATCGGTGTAGCATCCGTACGACGACATGTATAAAGCGCTATTATTTGCTTCATGTTAAATAAAGGTTTAATTACCCAAGTTTGAGGTTTCACGACATTTCTCCTTCTTTATATACAAATATGTTCGTACAGAAAATTAACTTACTTCCGATCAATGACTCTAAAAAGATCGACCGTGCCTTCCAAGTAATTCGACATTATTAAATGCCTAAGTTTGTATGGGAATGAATTTTCAGGTCTTTTCTCTGGCAAAGTGAATAATTGAATTAATCCATCGGGCGAAACATCACAATCTTGTCCGCCAAACCATACCCGCAGCTCTTCCAAATTGTACAGTTTCTGCAATATTCAAATAATGTAAAAACCGAAATAGTATTTGATTACGGAATGTGAACGAAATAGTATTTCGTTCACATTCCGTAATGACTACTCTAAATTGGTAGTTAGAACGTTAACCACTAAAATCAAACTACTAAAATTCTTACACTAAAATATATAAAAATATTAAAGCACTTATCAATTTCAATAATATCAAACCAAATTAAATCTAGAGCAAACAAAACATTGAAACTACCAATGCAGCCAAATATTTTTAAAGTTGGAAAATGAATGATTTTTATAAAACTGCTAAAGATGTATACAAGCATAACTGTTCGGTAGCACTACCCTCATACAAACGACAACTTAATCTTATTTTTGCTAGCATTGTTCTTGCCTTTATGTGCGCAAATTCTTGATCAGAAGTATACAAACTCAGACCCCATGAAAATACTTTCAAATTATGCAAAAGACCAATGTACTCAATGCCATCATTTCTAATATAAGATCCAAGATGAAGTTCGGTAAGAGTAGACCTCCACGGAGAAGCTCTAATCACGCTGAAACTGAAAAACACTGATATTAATAAATATATTCACAATATTACCAAAATAAAACAGCTACCATGAATCAAGTAGCTTACAACTGAACAATCCAATAATAGATTTCAAATTACGATGTCACATGATCCCATAAGACTGTTTTCAAAAATGATTCAACTTGAACCTAGCGAGTAATCTGCGCTAAGAGAATTGTAGGGGAAAACGAACTTACTTAATGTCAGCTATCCCATCGTAAATATGTAATAAATTCAGCGGACGTTTATAAGCAGGCAATCTTGGATCATTTCCTGAACTGTATACACTTACATTACCAACAAAAAAATTTCTCACTTCTGGGAAAATGTTTTCATCTTCAAATAACATTTCCAACGTCTTTTCCCATTCGTCTGGATTATCAGACCCTGGACTCTAAAAGATAAGATACGCAAATCATGAATTATTATTGCTGATACTATTCATCTCAAATTAAAACTGTCTTTAATAAATGAAGCCCGAACTGTAATATTAAATAATAAATATAGTAAAAAATCAATTACTCAAACAGGAATAAGAATAACCTATAAAAATTGCGATACCTTAAAAAGGTGGTAATGAAATATTTCATTAAATTTATAATATCAAATCATACTTGTCTCACTTTTTCCATGTGCAAAGTTTTAACATTCGGGAAGCTATTTGATAATTTTGTCAATAGTGTAGTATTCATTTCTGCAAAACTTGTCATTTACAAGGAAGAATGGTTAAATTTAAAAAAATCAATCTATTATAAAATCTCTTGATTTAATTTTACTTTAATTTGTACCCTTAAATGAGCCAATATCGAGATGGATTACATTAGGAAAACAAATTTCGAATAATGCGTACACTTCGGCGGATGGCAATGGTACAGAACAATCAATACACAATTTCCGAAGATAATGCGAAGTCTGAAAACATATAAAAAACGAATATAACATACTAACTCATTAATTAGCAAAAATAAAGGGAAACAGAAGGAAACGAAAATAAATCAAGGTGATAAGACTGTCCTCAGAGTTTGATTAATTACGGTCAATAAACTACAAATACTTTCTTCATTGATTATCATACATCATTTGACATAAATTCATTCGCCAAAACTTACCCTATGGAAAAACTTTTTCACACTGCCATATTTCAACGAAATATCGTTAACTAATACCCGAACTTCGGTGAAAAAAGCAGAATGATTCGCCAAATAATTCCAACGGTGACAAACCAAAGAGAAACAGTGGATCAAATCAATCGGATGACAATAAGCAAATATTGTCAATAATATATCATTCGACAAGTCATTAATTGTTACCTTAATAAATTACTTACAATTGAAAAACTTTTCACTGGAATCGTTTGCAATGGATCGTAATAATGAAAACTTCCAAATATTCACCGCCGCGCTATCTGAATCAGCTGTAAATTGATTGATATCCACTTCACTTCCGGTCGAAGCCTGGAAATTTTCTATTTCATATTTTATTAAAGAGAGAAACAAAAAGAAAGCAGAAATTCGTTACACTGATAAGTAAAATGGATCACTTGGGACTTCAGATTGGTAGTCTTGTGTCGCGTAGATGAGTAAGAGGAACGACCAAGTTGTATCAACGGATAATATGTTTGCATCCGATGAGCACGAGTCCTAAAATTGACTGAGAACCCAATAAAACTGTCTTGTAGAGTCTAACATTCGATGAGAGTGGATTTTATGGCAGATCTGGGATAACAATCTTAAAACTTCTTAAAACTCTTTCCAACACTTTTAATATAACACAAGAAAACTTACGCCTCAAAAAACTTATATCTTCTGTCTATCGTATCATATTTGCGCGACACAGGCCGATATCGTCCAGGCGATTCTGTTATCGCATCCATTCTAAAATAATTATTGTCTAAAGCAAGCAGAAATTGATTCATTAAGAAATTTTCATTGCAATTCCAAATCTCAAAAGCAAAACACTGTCATTTTGCGCTCAAAATTGAGCAATTATATTTCAATCAAATAAAAAATCAATAAAAAGCAAATAAATCAAAAATTTAAATACGTCCGAGCAGCACGAATTCATCATAATGTGTGAATGACAGAAATGACACATTTGATGTCCGCGTGTGATCACAGTGACTCATCAAAGGTGCACAAAGGTGTAGCAGTAAATAATTTTTGAAATTCAAAAAATAAATTAATAAAAGGAATAAAGTGGGAAGGAAGTTAGAAATGGAGTGAATTTGTGGGGAAAAGTGGGATATAAATTAAAAATCAAACCAGTGGCAGTATTAAGTGCCAATTACTATGTTATTATTTTTTTTATTACTTTATTATTATTATTACTATTATATTATTATTATTACTAATTATTATCACTTTTATTACATGTTATTATTATCAATTATTACCAATTATTATTTACTGCTATTTATTATTCATGCCATTATTCATTATATACACTGCCTGACGGGTGCTCAAGACTGTGGTGTTTACTTGCTTGTGAATCCAATATACTCTCCATAACTTCGAAAGGCTTACTCATGATAAGGAATGACAATGATTATATGCTGATAAGAAATTGAAATGATTATCTTAATCCAGTAAGTTAATGTTCAGTTATGTTTATCTCCCATTGAAAAAGTGAGTAGGAAGAATTCATTGTCGATTTTTCTTGTAAGAATGTAAGGATGGTATTTGAATTTTGAATTAGAACTGCTGTTAATTATAAAAATGGAAAATTTGCTCTAGAAACAAAAAAAAAAAAAAAAAAAAAAAAAAACGAAAAAAAAACGAAAAATCAGTCGTTGTCGAAAATGTGCTTCAATAATTTAAATTAATGAAATATTTTAACTGATAAAGTGACTAATTCAAACATCGTTGCAGAACAAATTGATATTTCGATGAAATAATTTGCATTTACTAATTTTCAATTATATTTATTTAATTTACATTAAATATGATATTTAGTAGTGTGTTTTAATAATGATTTTAATCTTACATTAGATAACTGTTACAGTTTTTGGATATAAGTCTTCATTTGATTTAATAAACAATATTTCTCTCTCTCTCTCTCCTTTTTTTTGTTATCATTTTGGCTTGTTTCAATAATAGTTGAAAAATGGAAAGAATAAAATGAAAATTATTGAAAACGAAAAAAAGATTTTTTAAATATTAAAAAAAAAAAAAAAAAATTTGAGGGAAAGTATAAACAAGAATGATAATGATTTATAATTTGATTGTCATCTTTTTTCTTCTTTTAACTAAAGCATGAAAAAGTTACGTCATAATGCAGTAATGATGCTCTGACAATAGCATCCTTTCATCAGATTTTTGCAAAATAGCAAGCATCCTTGTTGCTTTAGGGCTTAAGAGGCAATTTTATTTTAAGGAATAATTTATCATCACATGCTAGCAACACAAGTACTCCTTATATTGACATTTTTTTTTTTCACTAATTAAATCCAAAAATGCGCATAAAATTCGCATATATCTGCATATATATATCATAGATATCATTTGATAGTAATAAAAAATATTAAATAAAAGTTCGAAACAATTTTTTTTTTTCCTTAGAATTAAATCTTTTTCCTTTCATTTCTAATTTATAAATTAGGATTTTATAATTTTTGTGACTCTTTTTGTTGATTTTTGGTTAGTGTACGATAGAATCTGAGTTTTTTTTTTTAATTCTATTTCATTATTTATTATTATTATTTGTATTTTATTTCTTTAAATTTTAATCTACAAATATTTTGCCTAATATGTAAACTATAAAGGATGTTAGTTATTGGCTGATTTTGTGCATCTGGAAATAACGTTGCTATTTTGATACAGTCGCATTTGTTTATGAATCAATTTGCTACACATATATATTTTAAGTAATACTTATATTATAATTAGTCTAAGTAATAATTAAACTAAAATATTTTGAAAATAATTTATAATCTGTTGAAAAATGTTGAATAATTGCGCCTATTTCATCAAATAAACATTTGAGCTATATATCATTTGTTCTAAATTCCATTCTTGGCTCATTTAAGCTTCTAGCAGTATATCATTTTTTTTTTCCTCTTTTATTGCATCTATTTATGAACCATTGCTAGCCCATAGTCATCAATCCCTATGGATTTTCAATTTTTATCTTATTTTTTATTTAAAAAAAAAACAATCACTTATGAATACTTTGGGAATTATCATTGAGAACTAAATTTAATGTATGAAACTTTAAATATGGTAAATAAATTTTTTTTTTTTATTCAAAGAGAAAAAATAAAAAATTAAACGGAATGGAAAATTTCTATTTATTGTCAATTACTCTCTCTCTCTCTCTTGTAGTCTTTATATTTTTTTATTAATATTTTAGCACTCAGTATTCAAAAAAAAGAAAATTGTCAAATTTATAAAATTGCACCACATTTTCTTCGTTTTTCAATAGGTAAGAAAATAAAAGAATAAAAAAACTAAAGCCTTTTTTTACATTTCATTTTATTTATTTATTTATTATTATTATTTTTTTTTATTCTTAATTCATTTCTAACGAATAAGAAGGAAACTATTAGCAATGCTACATCCGGATTCGAAATCATTTTCACATTCCGAATATACTCGCTTACCTGAAAACACTGCAATTTTTCTGTTTTTTATTAATCCTTTAAGAAATGACTAAAAGAATTGTAATGTTTATATTTTTTATTCAATATTCCTTTTTTATTTTTTTCATTTTTTTTTTCCAAATAATTCATTGATTTTTTAAAAATACTTTATGAAAATCACAATCTAAGAGATTAAAAAAAAAATTGAAATAGCAAATTGAGTAGTTTTTTGCTAAATATTTGATCGATTTATCAATTCTCTTTTTTTTTTCCCGAATAAATTTCAAATAAATTTTTCTTTTTGCACTACACTTAGTAACCAGTACATTAATTAAGTCAGTTATTTAAATAAAACTTTTCGTTTTTTTTTTTTTTCTTTTAGTAAATAATCAAACAAAATATTTATTTATTATTTTCACATGATTGTCAATATTAATTGCAATTCTTATATTCTCTTCTAGTTCATAATTTCATCCCAGAATTAATTTCAATATATTCATCAATTTTTTTTTTTATTATTTAGCGAAAGTATTAATGCAATATACTGTAATTATATCAGCTTCTATTTGTTCAAATAACTTTTAAAAATTTCATTTTCTTTTTTTTTTTACAATCTTAAGCATCGCATATATATTAAAATACATGTAACTAAACTTTTTTATATTCATATGAAAATTAAGAAAAGAGAAAAGATAAAGAATTTTGGAATAGAATAAACTGTAATTAAATGAAACTTGCTTACACAAGAAATAAGAAATTTTTGAAAAAAATTTTTTTTCATCCCTTTCTTTTTATCCATCTAATTATTACTGCATGATTACATTTGAACATTCAATTTAGCTGCTTAAAAATTGACTTAAAATGCAAGTTTCATTTTTCAGTATATTTTACCAATTTGATATTTTATGAATGAAATTTTCTATTGCAATCATTTAAAAATTATTTACAACAGTTGCAAATAGATGAAATATTTTTACTTTTTATATAAGATTACATTGTTTATTAAATTTTTTTTTTGTTTAATTTTTCTATTTCATTCTTATGTTAAAGTGCTAATTAAATAATCATTTTTTTGTCAAATAATCAATATTGAAAGCACAATTTAATTTGTTAAATTGTATTTTTTTTTTCTTTTCTTGTTTTTTTGTCAAAATATTTCAGAGATTCATTGAAAACTTTGTTATCTTCTTTTTTAAATTAAAAAAAAAAAACTAATTGCCCAAACATAAAACACATTCTAAATTGTTTAAAGAATATTATTAAAAAATTTGGTTTCAGCCGTAAGCTTATCGATTTACATTATTTATACGTCATCCTTGTTAGCAGTGAATATCTCCTTTTTAATCTTTCAGTTTAATGATTGAATGTTCCTACATTCTATTTACGATCTTTCCTCCACACCAATATTTCAGTAAGATTAAAGAATTATTTACGTCTAGATAGACGGATTAAGCGTAAGTTCATTTAGATTAAGCGTACTATCCGAGAGTTCATTTAGATTCCGTACTATCCGAGAGTTCATTTAGATTCCGTACTATCCGAAAGTTCATTTAGATTAAGCGTACTATTTGAAAGTTTATCTATAGATAAAGTATACTATCTGTTTGGTCAATTTTGATTGAACATATTAAACATATCCTAGTGTGCAGGTTTATTTAAATCAAGCATATTATATGAAAATTAGAAAATTTATTTAAAATAGATGTACTCCTTGTCGGTAGGTAAAAAATAATTGATGGTCTCATGAAATAATTCTATTACTTAGATGTATTGTTTTGTTTTTTTTTTTTTTTTTCTTTTTATTCTTAATTCAATTATCCATTCTTGGTTGCATTTCTTTTTTTTTTCACTTTTTAAATTATTCATATATATTCATTTGTTTACATAAACAAATTTTTTGTATTATTTCATATAGTTTTATTCTTCGATCTCATAAATTCTTGATTAAGAAGAAATTATTAGAGAAATATATAGTATGCCTTTTAACAATTAACATGAAATATATCGATTGAAATATATTACTTAAATTTTAAGTATAAATAAATTTTCCTTTAGGATAACTGATGCAAAAAAAAAAGCGCTTAATGGATATGAAAGTATTTAAAGTAAACAAAAAACAAAAAAAAAAAAAAATCTGTTCCAGTGACAAAGGAAAAAAAAAAAGAAGGAAAATATTGGTATAATTTGAATGCGAAAAGAAAAAATTTGTGAAATGGCATGGAAATTTACTGGCAATACCGATTTTGATTTAAATGCTGGCCGTAATGCATTTCGATGTGATACAGGCATTGATGACTGGGAATATGCTGGTAAGTTGCAGTAGGAAAGTGGAAAATTCATTATTTATTATCAGTCTTTAAAAAAAAAATTAATATTTTATGTTATAATCAAATTTATCATTAATAATTATCAGTTAATCATTTAATAATATCAATAATTAAAATTTACGCTTTTTTTTCTACAAAAATTTTCAAATATAGTATTTAAAATATGAATAAATTTTATGTATATTTTTAATAATGTATCATTCAGATTATGTTATATATTAAAAAAATATTGGTATCGAAAAAAAAAAAATGAAATCATTCAAGCGAGCATAAAGAAAATATTGGAATAATAAGAATAAGAAAAAGTTGAAAATAAACTGAAATAGATTAAATAAATGATTAAGGATTTAAAAATTCAAAAAGATCTCTAAGGCATATTTATTTTTTAAATTAATTTAATGTTGATTAGCAAAATGATGATTAGCTTGTTTACTCATTCATTTAAGTTAGATTTTTTTGTTTTTTAAATCTAAGCTAAGATGATGAGTTTGAGTAATATTTACTTGGCATTTTAGTCAATATTTTATTAGTTAGTCATACATATAGCACATTTCATATCTTATATAGTAGATGAAAATAGGCTAGTTGAATAAAATGAGCCCAGCTATAGCCTAAACTATAGTTTCTTTGCCATGGCTTTTAACTGCATATCTAAGAAATCGATTTTCAAACTAACTAAGAGCTATGAAAAAGGACGATGATGGCATATAAGATGTGGATTTATAATTAGTTCAACAATCTGTGCTTCCCTTTTTTTTTCTTTATTTTTTTAAAACATAAAAAAATGAAAATTTAGCAGCAAAGTGAAATGAATTATTCAGGTAATAAACAGTGAGAAATAGAAATGATCAGGGAAATAAATATGAAAATAGTTGACAGCTTTTAAGATTTTTAGTTTTTTAACAACTTGCAAAATTTTACTTCTTTAATAGATTTTTTTATTTATTTATTAAATTACCGTTCATTAATTATTGTGATTGTGCATTATCACGTTGAATTGAAATGTAATTTTATTACAAAGATCAAAACTTTATTAATTATTATAAATGTAAGCTAGGAATGGTTAAATAGCATACGAAAATATTTTTGGAACTATCATATGTTAGCTAATTTATCACAGATTTTTTGATTGACCGATAATTAATTTTAAAGTATCTTTTCCATATTTAACGTAAAAAATCTTCTCTTAATAGATTGATAGTAGAAATAAAAAAGTTGATAAACAATTTTGATAAATATAAAACAAATTATTCCCTTTTTTTTTAAAAAAAAATTTTACAGACAGTGAAACAATAATGCGTCGTAACTCAGCAATTCGATCATTCACTGAATCGGTTGATTCGGATTTTCCACCAGCTCCGGAATTGCCTCCTTCGTTAAATATCGATTTGCATTATCCAGAAGAAGTGTTAAGAAGAAGTGAAACATCGGAGACAATTATTGAGGTTAATTTTTCATTAAATTGACTACACATAAAGATATATGCTAAAAATTAAAAAAAAAAAATAAAAAATAAAAAATTTTAAATTAAATATGCTAAGTGTAATAATTTTAATTATAGTTTGATTAATATATAATAGAGTTAAGAGAATTTTACTCAAATAAAGTAAAATATTTTGGCTAAAAGATGCATGAATAATAATAAAATAAATATAATAAAATAATAGTAATTATAATAATAAAATAATTGAAAAAAAAAAAATTGTTTCAGAGAAAACCTAAACAATCGTTACAAGATGTGGTCAGTGGTACTCAAAAATATCCTGTAATGGTACCTGGTCCAGGTCATGTGGATGAGGAACAAGAACTTCATGCAAGTCTTTTGCATCAGGATGACGAAGGCTCTGAAAGTGATATGGAAATTCGTAATTTCCAGACGGAACAATCGTTGAATATTACCAATACAAAGGTTGTATTATTTTTAATTTTTTTCAAATAAACCACTTAACAAATTGTTATGATCAATGAAAATTTTCAAAAAAATGATTGGTAGAAATCTCAATAATACATTCACTACAGCTATTTTAATTTTAAATTAAATATGTTAAGTTTAATAATATTAATTATAGTTTGATTAATATAATAGAGTTATTTATATGATACTTCGATACAAACCAAAAAGTTAATCATTTAAGATATCAACAATCATTTATGAGAAATATAATACACTATGAAATTGCTCTAAGCTAATTAGTAATTAGCTTAGCTAGTTTTAATGATTATAGTTGTTCTATAACCTTTCAAATATCACTTCTCTTGCAGCAATAGCAAAACAGACGTGATCGTAATCGTGAAGCATCACGTGATTGTAATTATGCTATAATCTTTCAACTAGTCCTTCTTTTGCAGCAACAGCAAAAAAGACGTGATCGTGATCATGAAGCATTACGTCATGAATATTCAGTATCAACGCTGGAACGACCACGACCAACAACGCCAACGTCATGGTGCGCTATTGAGAATTACGTAGAAGGTTCCATAGAAGCTGATTCACCACCGATCGTAGAAAAAAAACAAAAGATTCACGTCAGTATACCAAATCATAATGCACCACAAAGTATGTCATAAAATTATCAACCAATAAGTTTTTATATAGGAAAAGGAAAAGAGGAATTGAAATTTTCATTTTATTGCTATAAAAATTAAAATTAATTATAATTCACTGATTAGTAAATGCATATTTTTAACGCTTGATAACTTCATGTAATATTCATTTATATAAATCATTGATTTTTATTTTAAAACAAACAATATTAATAAATGCTAAAAAAGATTTGTATATGTGAATTCTGTTATGAAAACGAAAGTTTGAATTATAATCTAATTTTTTTTATAAAAATCATAAAAATTAATTGAGATCTCTATTAAAAAAAAGATTATTTTTCTTTGTGTAAAATTTGATTATTTTTGATTTTTATAAAATAAACAAATGTTTTGTTTATTATTATTATTACTACTTTTTTTATTCTATTTGAATGTTATAATGTAAACGCATATGAAATGATTTCATTTACAATTAAAATAATTTTAGCACCAAAACGTCGTCGTCGAGCATCCATGTCATGGTTTGATTTTTATGAAACAATGTCAACACAAATACCATCACAAGTATACCTTTATCTAATTTTTATAAAATTCATAATAATTAATTGAAAATTTTATTTAAAAAAAAATTATTTTTCGTTATACAAATTTTAATAAATTACTTGCTTTTAATTGAAAATTTTATTAAAAAATTTACTCGTTTAATTGAAAATTTTATCTAAAAAAAAAAAAAATTATTATTCTTTATACAAAATTTTAATTAATAAATTATTTACTTATTTATTTTCAATAATATTTTAATAGGTTCGTAAATCAATTTCTGGTCGTACTACACCACTAAATAATTATGATGGTGATATACTGGAAGAAGATCCAAAATATCGAAATGTAGCACCACCAAAACCAGTCATCCATCGTCGTTCATCAACTGATTGGGAAAGTTTCATAGATAATGGTAAAGATTTTGAATTAATTTCTTTTTGGTATAAAATATAAGTTAACATTTTTAATTTACATAAATTTTGTGAATTGGAAAATATTATTTCAAAAAATTTCATTATCTACTATCAAAAGATATTATGAATTATTTTAAAATTACATGATACTGCTTTATCAATTTTTCCATTATTTATGTTTTTATTTATTGATTAGCAAAAATCGTTTATTTCTAATATTCCAAATCACTTTTTACTTTTTTTTTTTTTTACTTCAAACTAATTATTGGATTATATTAGGTCAGTAATTATATATCCAATACATTTCAACCTTTTTCTAAAAAAATTTTTTTTAAAAAAAAATTTCTTCGTTCAGATTTTTCAAATATATTTTACTCAAATTTTTGCATACAGAAGTAACATTTATCATTTGTTTATTCATTTATTTATTTACCTACTTATTTGTTTATTTGTTTATTCATTCATTTGTTTATTTTGCTAGTTCGTTTAATTATTCTTTTTTTGTTTCAAATCCCTCCTTTTATTTATTTGTTTTTCTAATTAATAGATCATAGGACTAAAAAAAAAAAGAAGAAAAAAACATTTTAATTAATTCAATAGAAATATATCACACAAAAGAAAAGTAATAAATTCTTTATATTCAATTTTATTTTAGAAATATTTTCCATTTTTTTTTTCTTTCCAATTTCCAAAATAGTTTCTCTTAGTATTGAATAATTTTCGTTTTTCTTCTCAAAAGAGCAAATGTCCTTTACTGAATAAAATAAAGTTAATCAATGCAGTAAAAAACAAAAAGAAAAAATCCAAAAATCCATCTTTTTTCCTTGTCTTTTCTATTTTACCATTATTTTTCTAACTAATGTTTCAATGGAAAAAAAAATATTGAAATTAAATTGATTGTTAGTAAGATTGAAATTAAATTGATTGTTAGTAAGATTGAAATTAAATTGATTATTAGTAAGATTGAAATTAAATTGATTATTAGTAAGATTGAAATTAAATTGATTGTTAGTAAGATTGAAATTAAATTGATTATTAGTAAGATTGAAATTAAATTGATTGTTAGTAAGATTGAAATTAAATTGATTGTTAGTAAGATTGAAATTAAATTGATTATTAGTAAGATTGAAATTAAATTGATTGTTAGTAAGATTGAAATTAAATTGATTGTTAGTAAGATTGAAATTAAATTGATTGTTAGTAAGATTGAAATTAAATTGATTATTAGTAAGATTGAAATTAAATTGATTATTAGTAAGATTGAAATTAAATTGATTATTAGTAAGATTGAAATTAAATTGATTGTTAGTAAGATTGAAATTAAATCGATCAAGTGAGTATGAATGAAAAAGACAGTGGTTAGAGCCATATATGATGAATCGGTCAACATTTTTTAACAGCTAAAATAATTTTTTAAACGAACAAAAGCTAAAATGTCGTATATTTGTGTATGTGTATGTTGTGTGTGTGTGTGTGTGTTGTGTATGTGTATGTATGTATGTGTGTGTATATGAGTTTTTTTTATGAATTAGTAGTTTAGATGTACTTCAGAGCTTATAGAAAGCTTTTAAGCCAAAAGGCAACTAAATAGAGATATACTTCTATTCCATTAGGGCCTTTAATCTGATTTTGGCAAAGCCTTACTGATGCATTGATTTTACGGCAATCTTGCTTAACTAAAATTAGCTAGGCAGAAGACATGCAGCATGCAGTGCATGCATGTGCATGTAGCATATTTATTATGCATATTATTATATATTACTTTCTTCATTCTTTCATTATGCACTTCGGAATATTTCTAATTGTAATTAATTTATTGCATATATTTTTTGCGCTTTTTTTTGGGGCTTAAACTTTTTTTCAATCTTTAAAAAAGTTTGGAAATTTCGCTAAAATAAAATGAAAAGACCTAAATGTGTGAAATAAAAGAAGAATGACGTAAATCTTTCTGAAATTTCACGTCATCTAAAAAAAAAAAAGATGTAAAATAACTTGAATCTGTCATAAATACAGACAAATGCGTATCAAGACATTTGCGCTATTCATTATCATTTAATTACTATAAAAAAATAAATAAATAATGGGAATCTTAAAAAAAAATAATTTAAACATTAAAAATGCAAAAACATTCATTGTCCGAATTCGTTCACAAAAAAAAAAAGAACATATTTTACTGCATATTTAAATTTTGCTGGGAATTTTTTTTATTTTATTTTTAGAGATGTTCAAAAAAAAAGCCAGCAGTTAATCTAGTCAGTTTAACTTATTGGCTAAGAATGCTTTTATAAATTCCAGCAATTTCTTTCTCCTTCAATATCATTTTCGATATTTGTCCATTCTGTGTCGTGTAATTGATGTTTTTTTTTTTTTTTTTTTTTTTTTTTTTGAAATTGTCTCGTTTAAATCTTTGAAATCATCCAAATTGCACCATCCACTTATTCACTGCTATTTAATTGTTCCAAGCATAGACAATTTTGTGGAAAATAAGCCTAACTAGGCTTTTATCCATTTTTTGAATAGCTCATTTTTAGTAATCTATCATCATCCTAAATAATTCAGTTTTGACAATTTTGCTCATTTAATTCATATCATAAATTCTTAATCCATTAGTTATATTTTTATGCTAACGATCGTTAATTCAAATTATTCCGTTAAATCACTTTTTTTTTTTTAATATACATATTATAATATATGCTTTATTAAAAATGAAAGTGTTAAATTTAAAACTTCAAAAAATTATAATTTCATTTCAAAATTCAATTATTTTGTGGCGTATAAAAATTTTTTTACTTCTATTGCAGCAGAATCTGAAATATCGAAATCTGAGGAAAAGAACGATATGAGAAAATCGGATATTACAGTTAGTTCTAAATTTTTTTCTTTTTTTTTTTCCTAAAAAAAATTGAAAATATTGCAAATGTATGACCGTTTTAATATTTTATTAAATTTGAAATTTAACTTGTTTGATCTGTTTGCCTTTGAAAAATTGATTTTTCCTTTCATTTTCCTTCTAAATTTTTGCACCATAGCATATTTTTCTAGCAAATATACATTTACTAATTAACTTACCGTTTTTTTTTATTTTCAAACAAAAAAAAAATTAAATAATTTACTAGTAAAATTTTTTGTTATTGATAATTTTTTACGGATTGAAAAACAAATATTCCTTTTTTGGAATTTCGTTTTTCTTTTTTTATAGTCATCCAAATAAATGAATGTGCGTACACTTATGCAATTCGAATGTATTATTCAAAGATATATTCGGTTTGTTCCTTTTCTGAAGAAATGTCGATCAAATCGTCTTCCTGCAAAATTTTAAAGAGAGAGAAAGAGAGAGAGACAGAGAGAAGGAAAGAAAGAGGGAGATTAAGCTTAATTCATCATATTCCTTAGGGCTTACCAGATAGAATATTAATGCCATTCATTTAGTCTTCTTTTTTTTTCAATTTTAAAAATTTCAAAGGTACACTTTGTAACAAATAAACATAGGATGAAATTTTTATATTGAAAATGATCGTCAACAAAGTTAATTCTATGAAATTTTCATTTTCTCAAAATCAAATTTATTGCAAGGTATTAAAGTAATATAAAAGCTTATTTTGTATCTTTTTCTTTCAGTTTGTCCTTTAATATAATATTTATTGGTGTCATTATTATTTGCTATTATTTATTATTGTTATTACTGTTATCAATATTATATTATCATCATTGTTATCATTATCATTAATTATTGCTAGTTATTGTGATGCAATCAATAATTCGCTTTCAGATTTTGCAAATTTTACTGAATCCGTTAACAAATAATTTAATGATATATTGAGCATCCGCACTAATTTTTCTTTTCATTTTTCTTTTATATATATCTAAAATCTTCGAACTGCAAACTTTTTGAATCAAAAACTTTACTTTACTTCATGCAGCTCATTTATTTAGTCAATGAGCTGCAGAAAGCAGGTCATTGGAAAGCAGATCATCTGTCGTATTTTCTCGTTTTGAAGTAATGTTCAGCTAATCTTGCAAAATATTGTGAAACATACTCCAGAAAAGACTCTATATTTTATTTTGCAGAAATTTCTTTTAGCAAAACCCTCAAAATTAATTGTATGACTTAATTAATGATACATTGAACATTCATTGTTTATTTGATAAAAAATAATTATTTCAAATATTCAAGACAAATAATGGTGATGAAGAACTGACACCGAATAAATATGACATGCAAGGGACATCAGATGATCAAAAGATGTCACCAAATTCTAGAGCACTGATGGAACCTTCTGAAGATGCTGAAAATAATAGACAGGTTGTTGTATATATTTGATAGATCCAATGATAAGCCTTTATCAATCATTGTGAATTTTATCAATCACTCATATAACCATGAAATATCCCGATCTTTGCATAATATTTGAATAAATGTGTCAGTCGAGAAAAAAAGCTATTATTTTTTATTTAATTATATGTAATACTATTATTTTTTTTATTTAATTTAATTTTATAAAATTGCATTTTTAGTATTTTCACACAGCATGATCACTCTTAATATTATATTTTTGTTGTCATTTTCATCACAAAAAAAAAAATAATAATAATAATAACAATAATAAATATTACAATGCAATATTTTTATTAGACTTTATTCGATACATAGAACTTTGAATTCAAGATAATATCGACCATATCTTATTTTCTGCTGAAAAATGATAGTATGAGGGAAAGAGGAATAATACATAAATTTCGAAAATAAAATTATACAATGAGATTAATTGCGCATATATCTTTTATATTTGATAATAGAACGACAAATTTTTTGAATGCTTAAAAATTTCTATAGTAAAATTTGACTCACTCAAACAATGTTTCAAAGTTTTCACTAATAAAAATATCATACTTTCAAGTATCAGAAAATATTAGCATTTTCTATTTTCAGATTTTTACATCTCATACCAATAATACCACCTGCTATACAGATAAATCAGAAATTACCTCAGTAACACAAGCACCAGGTACGTTACATTTGTTTTCATCTATGGAAGAAAAAGAAGTTAAAATTAAAAGTTTACTTTTGATGATTACCATGAAAGTAATTGTTTATATTAAATTGACACCTATGAACACCTATTTCAATTGTATTATTAAAATATGCAACCCTAATGTAAACCTTACATAACCTTTAAACTTAAAAAAAAAGTCAGCCAGGTTAGTTTCACTGAAAAGCTAAACGCCAACAGATAATTTGTTCCACTTGAGATAATTTCATCCCATGTGAGAAACAATGTCAATTTGGTTGACTTTTGTTAGCTTGATGATAATATTAACAAGATGAACAGTGCATTTGAGCAACAGATCAATTCTATTGATCTCTTTCGAAAAATAAAACTTAAAATTAAATCGATATATTTGATTAATGATCACTCATTCTTATCAGAAATATTTCTGTAATACTTTCTGTGACAGAATTGTACTCAGATTGGTCAGAAAATTTTGAACAAAAGGAAGAAATTATGATAAAACAGAAAAAAAGTACAACAAGCAATGATGCCAATACGGAACGAAACGAATCAAGAGGTAACGTTGAATTACCAGATCAGGTATACGGTACGGAACAATATCCTGTTATTCCTGAAACTGAATCAACGATACATTACGATATAAGTTCAAATTACGAGAATGCAGGAAAACAGAATGCTGATAGCTCTGAAATGACAGGTTTTCAACAAACAGGTATGCTTCAATTTCATAAATCTGATTAATTCGCCTAAAAATTTTAGATTACTTGACCTTAAATTGCTTAAATATATTATATTCGAGAATCTAAATTTGTGAATTGATTGAATCTTTATAATTATCACTTATTTAAGAACATTTTTTTTTTGCTAATTTATTAAAACTTGTCAATGAGAGAGAAAAAAAATAGAATAAACTGCTATTTTTTAATACAAAAATTCTAGAAAATTTACTTTGGTTTTATGCAATTATTTGAATTAGCTATTTCAATATTTCATTAGATAGTAGAAAACAAAGTGTTATATTATTTTAGGTGACACTACACTTAATCAACAACCAGTGGAGTATGAACAATATACTTATTCTTACAATGAACCACAGATTCAAAGCTTTGATGAAGTGAAAAATGTAAACTACGATTACGGTACGACATCGTATCCTGATTATGAACAACAACAACAGCAGCAAAATGAAGTGTTTACAAATTATCAAGATTATAACGAAATGAATTATGGAACAACGTATCAAAGCTATAATCAACAATCAACTGTAAGTGAAGACTACACACAACAACTGATAACAAAGCAGGATTACGATCAACAACCTACCGTACTTCCTGATTACGGTGCTTCACAATATGATCAATCACAAGGATATACCTACAATAGCTATAATACTTATGCGTCATCTTATATGCCATCAGCAAATGACCACCAAAATTATGAAAGTCAGACTGGTTCAGAATCTTATCCAGGTGAAGTAGCCAAATTTAATAATACATATGAAATAAAATTTATAAAATTTAAGTCATATGTATCGCTTACAGGGCTTATTTAAAAGAATCAAAATATAGAGAAATTTTTTTCTCAGGATAGACATTTGCTAATATTATATGAGATAAATAATTTTATTTAAAAATTTGCATTCATCCATCTTGGAGAAAGATTACCATAATCCAATATAATAGAGATAAAAAGATAAGAATCATGAAAATTGTCGAAAAAATTATCATCAAAAAATGTTTAGGTATTGTTATAGAAACAACCGGTGATTACGATATGTCACATTATCAACAACCTGTTGCAGAAAATTCTACTACATCTCTTCACTCTAATGATGGTTATCGATCTCCTATGATACCACAATACATTGCACCATTATTTCCAGCCGTAATTAGGCAACTTTTTTTTTAAAGAAGAAAATTTTTATAAATTAAATTTCTATAATATTGCAATGAAAAATTTGCAGTATATTATTGGATATTTTTAAATAATAATAGAATGAATTTAACAGGTAATTAAATTATTAGTTTATTTTATGAAATATTCATTTTCAGGTCGGAACCAAATCCATTTTCTTGGGAAGCACAAGAAAGTGTAGCAGCAACGGTTACACAATCGATGCCACAACCTGATATCCAGTCATCACAAGCATTTTCTACTGAAACATATCAACAAAAGTTTGTTAAATCTCATCATTTTTTTTTTTTTTTTTTTTTGCTCATTTATCATAAAATTAAATTTTAGTTATATATATTAGCCAAATTTTTTCTTGATTTTTTTAGGGCAATAAAATATAATTTTAAATAAGAAGATTAATACATTAACATTATTTTATTGCTATTCTTGTTTACTCAAACCTACCTAATTCTCTTACAATTCGATTCATATGCAGTATTTAGCAAATATTTTGGATTTTGAATAGATTTAAAATTTGCTTCTTTTTTTTTTACCCAAAAGATAATCAAATTCTAGTTACTTTTTTTACTTATGACTTTTCTAGAATATCTTCTTTTTTTCTAGAGAAATAGCAACGGAAAATGATAATAGCGTTCAAAATGATGTAGAAACGAGACGAAAACGTAAGTGATATAAAACAAATATAGTGTTTTACGTGTATCGTAAAAACATATAGCATAGTTCTTTTATTTACATATATATATATATATTTTTTTTTGGAGAAATAAAGAAGAAATAATTTCTTATTCAAATAATTTTTTTAATAATATTATGAAGTATATATTTATTTGTTTGTCTTAAATGTTGCTCTGTTGTTTACTGATTTTTAAATATTGCTTTATTGTTTACTAAAGTTTAATTTTAAATGAAAAAAGAAAATTCAAGGCATGATAGATTTAGCTATTTTTAGCACCTTTACGACCTGCTCCCCCATCGCCATCCGTTGAACGTCCAGTACCACCAACACGACCTCCAGTACCACTCCCAACAACAAAATCAAAATATTCCATTGAACCATCAATGCATCAACAATTACCGCCTAAATTGATGGAATCAGAACCAGAAGAAGATGCATGGACACAGTTCAAAAAATTAACAGAAAAAGCTACATCAGCTGTGAAATCAACTGAAGAAAAATTGAGAGAATTGGAAAAGACTACAGCAGCCAAAGATATCAAAGATGAAAGTTACCTCTCACAAATTGGGTATGTTTTCCTGAAAAAGAACGAAAAAGCAAATGAATGATAAATGCTGCAACATTTTCGAATTTTTTTTTTTAGTTTAGTGATAGTTTTAATAAAGTATAGTAAAATTCTGTGGTAATCATTCCTAATATTACTTGTAACAAGTCGAATTAACTTAAATAAGATAAAAACGAAAAAGTTTGTAGTGGTTCTCAAGCCTATATTCCGGAACATGCCTATAAGCAAGCACGAGAGCAGGGATCTCTGATTGCACCGATAAAAGAGAAAAAAAAGAATAAACATGGAAAATCAAAGAAAATACCGGAACCGGAATTGACATTAGCACAGGAAGATGATATGGATCGAGCTGCTATGGAATTAGCAAAGAAGATGGCTGCTACAAGAATTGATTTACAGGTTGAATTAATTTATTACATTTTTAATTAATATAATTTACTTATAGTATCAATGTAATGTGTAAATAATTTGTTCATGAAATAAATTAAAATGCATCTTTAATATGCAACTTGGAATATTGTGCATAATCTTTGAGTTTTTTTTTTTTATGATATTGAAATGAAAATACCAAAATATATATATTTTAATACTTATTCATTTATATTTTAATATTTATTCATTCGTCATTTATATTTTAATACTTATTCGTTCTTAATTCACTTAGCCTAACTCTTTTTGCACCTTGAATATCTTTTTTTTTTATTCATCTCTGTTTATCAATTAAATTTTTTGAAATTTCTTTTTTCTGTAAACTTTTTACAGAGCGATAATCATAATAATACTTGTAGGATTGGAAGCCACCAACAGAACAACAAGGACCATCAAGTCCTAACCAACAATCAAACAAATCACCTGAGGAAATGTTAGCATTATATTCGCTAAATTAAATTAAATTTCATACTCGTAACGATACATTTTGTTAGAAAGCGACAATTAATTAAGGTGACAGGTAATAAGTGCTAATAAATTTATGTGCTTATTATTTATTAAAGTTATTTCATGAATTCATCCTTCACTTTTCTAGTCCAATGACAATGCTAGCATCAGCTAAATCGAGCAGTAACGATGCTGTAAACAAGGAAGCTTCAGAAACATTTGAAGAAACAAATACCGCAGCAACTTTTAGGTACTTTCATGAAATTTACAGAAATATTTTAATCATTGATCTAATTTAAGATTTAAAATTTGCAGAGGCAGAGCATAATCATTTCTATTTGTATTCCTAACTTTTAATTAAAATTTGGATTAATTTATTTGTAGATAATTTATTCATAAATAGTTATGTATTTTTTAGAACTGATATATTATATATTTTCTGATCTAACTTAAAATTAATTACTAGTAATAAAGAAAATGATAAGATTTGGATAGGTTTGTATTGTTTTCTCATTTTTGTCATCACTTTATCAATTATTTTCTAATATTTAAGCCCAAAGCTAGAGAATCGAACTTGGACTGCATTTGATGATTCACAGCCAACTGAATTACCAATATCTGAATCAGGTTTTTTCACAAATGCCTCTGTAGCTCCAGTTTCGCCTGATAAAGCATTTGGTTTCACTGTTGCGCCCAATGAACTTAATGCTTCGATCAGTGAAAATTTAATTGATGAGGTTTTTATGTAAAAAAATATTATTATTATATTTTATTAAATGATATTTTAAATGATAATTAGTAATCATTAGTCAATATTAAGATTAACATCAACATTATGATTAACATTTAAATGATAACCAATCAACATTAAGGTTAGCGTTAAGATAAGATTGATATCAACATTAAGATAAGATTAATATCAACGGACTAACATTTAAATAGTAATTAATCAACATTAATTACTTTCAGTGTTATCAAAAAAAAATGTTTTCTCTATCAATTTACAGGATTATGATCCATTCAATGTACCTTCAGCAGATGATTTAGTTAAAGAAGCAAAATTACGAGCTGCTGCTGCATTAGCTGCAGAAGAAACTGAAGAAGATATTAACTTTTTTGCTACTGCTAAAATAAATGAAGAAAAAAAAAGTGATATTAGCACACCAACACAAGAAGGTGGTAGTCCAGCTAGTTCACGACCTGCTGGATTTGATGATGAATTCCGTATGGAAGTTAGTTTTTAATATAGATTAAAGTATAAGCTATGTGTTTTATTTCTTTTTTTTTTATTGGTTAAATAACTATAACATATATATAGATTTCTTTAACCTTAATTTTTAAAAAATTTTTTAAAATTAGATTTGTGCAAAAGTCTAATGTTGATTAGCATTAGCTGATAACAATGATTTCAGTTACAAATATCTTAATCTGCCTATTTAATAATGAAAATTAATTAAATGGTGATGTAAGTCGATAAAACAAATCAATCCTATTAAATTTGAAACAATAAAAAATTTAATAAAAATTTGATTTTTTTTGTGTTTCATTTTTTTTTTTTTGAATTTAAGTGTTCAATATAATTTCAGGATGGTAATATCAGTACACCAAGTCCATTATACGATGAAGATGATAGTGAGCCATTGACTGATTTTCCAGATAAATTTACCGGTGATGGTTGGGAAATGATGATTCGATATCCTATAAAGAAGAAAATTATGAGTGATCGTTACTGGAAGCCATGTTATGTGAGAATACGTAACAATACCCTTTTTTTGTTCAATTCAAAAACTGAACAGAAACCATTTATGGAAATTTTATTACAGGTTTTTTCTTTTTTTTTCAGCTTTATTTTATTTCCATTTCTTAAACCATTTTGTTAGGAAACTTTTAGTTTTAAAATTAAATCAAATTATACATAGCTTTTATTCCTTATTGAAAAACAATTTTCTTAAAATTACGTGAAAATAATTTTAACTTATATTATTTACTCGCATTATATCTATCGTAATACCATTTGGAAAGCTATAATATTCATAACCGATTCCAAATTAAGTTTAAATTTTTTTTTTAGTAGTGGGTATTGTTTAAGTGATTGATTGATCATTGCTGATTGAATGGACTATTTGCTTGTTATCTTGTCTAATTAAAATTAATTTAATTTCTCTAATATACTAATTTATAATTACAATTTAGCTAATTTTATTTTTTAAGGAATTTTTTGAAGAAAAACTGTTAATTTTATTTTGAAGGAAGTCATTTTTAAACTTATACATTCGATCAATCTCAAATAATTCCATAATTTCAGGCGACGTATTCTCTTTCTGATCCAACATTACAAGCATATGATGTTTATGGCAAAATTCATACAGTAAAACTGCAATATGTTTTATACAAAGAACGTGTTGGTATCAGACCAGGTATAGCAAGTCAATATCAATGATTGAAAATTTTAAAATTTTAAAAATATTCAATGTTTGATATTATTTCTCAGCTTTGATCATTATTTTAAAATTATTACTTAATCATAATTCTAAGTCAAAATTTTGAAATTGTAATTAAAAATTCTTTTTTTTATGATTTTAAAGATTTCTATGAACTATAAAGATAAATAAATTAAGAAAAAAATAATTTGTGATAAATTTTTAGGACAAATTTCACGATTGGTAGAAGGACATGTGACAAAATATGGTTTACCATTAGAACATTCAGCACAATGCACAGTAATACTAAAATTTGGTTCATTAAATGCATCTGAATTGTTTACATTTGTTGTCACAATTGAAGATATTCTCTTTCGCTGCGTGGCTATACGAAATAATACTCCGTTATATAAGCAAGATGAAGTTCAGGTACTAAAATAGTATTTTTAGTATTAAAATAATTTTCATTTAGGATGAAGAATTTATGTTAAGAAGGACAACATGTGACATTCATTTAAGTCTTTATTTTATCTCAGCTTTGATAAGTCATTTAAGATAAATCTTAAAACTTAAAAATTTTTATCAATGGTCAGTTACAAAAAAAAAAAAAAAAAAAAGAAATCAATTATACATAATTTACTTCATTTATTAAGATTGCTTAATTGATTTACTTACAAATGTTTACATATGAATGACTAACTTATCACTTTTTAATACATAGGTGAGAAAAAAAAACTTTTTAATGTATGATATACTAAAAATATCTAATTAAAAAGTAATAAACTAAATAGCAACAAGTAAGAAAATGAAAAGTTAGCATAATTGACGAGAAAAATTTTATTATTTTTCTTCTCTAAAAAATGAAATATAAAATAAATAAATAAAGAAGAAAAAAAATTTTTTTTTCATAAATTTTTTTATGAAAATTATATTTTGTTTCAAAAAAGATTCATTGTTACGATGAATATGCTGCATATGTGGACAAATTCAATATTTTGAGCGATCAAAAAGCTCGTGTACGATTATTTTGTCTTGCATTTGTTTCCGGATCACCCATACTTGAAATTGGTCTCAATGATCGTCGTAGACAAGGAAAGGTTATATTCCTTTCTTAATTTCTTTCTCATTTTAAAATTTCACTCGTTAAATTATTTTGAATTTTTAATAACTTATCAGCTATAATGTTTGCTAAATTTATATTTCATATCATACATTTGTTAATTATTTTATCTTATGCAAGTAATCATGAAATTAATTCAGGAAATAGTTCGTCGGAAAGATATTTTACCAATGTATACCGAAAGATGGATACGATTTGAAAATCTTGAATTTCACAATACAGTTGAAAAAGAAATTTTTGAAAAAGAACAAATAATTCGACTTTCACCACCTGATGGATGCTTTTTTGAGGTACCATTTATTATTTCAACATTTTATTTATGATAAAAGTAATTCTTGCATAAGTGATTATTGCATAGAAAGTAACATTTCAGTGTTTAATTTTGGTATTCCTTTCATTACGTAATAAATTCAAGTTTGAATAATTTCGAAGTATTCAAATTCTGATTATTTGATTTCAGAATTAAATTAACAGTAAATTAGCATTTCGTAAATTCCATTGATATCAATTAATATTTACAGCAATTATATCACTTATCACCTACTTATCATATTAACACATCATATAATTTTGCATAAATGTTTTTGAACTTTTATTGAATTAAATAAATTTTAGCATAGCTATTATTTTACCATGCTTTATTCTAGCAAATATTAGCTAAAAAAAAAAAAAAAGATTTGTATAAGCTTTGGATGAGAGTACATTTAAAATTGCTTCAAACATTTCAAAATTTTTTTATGCACATTAAAAAGATTCTGATATTATTATTATAAATGGAAAAAATTTCAACAGGTAATGAGATTTCGTGTGAGGCCACCAAAAAATCGCGAAAAGCCATTAACAGTAAAATGTGTGATGAAAATTGCTGGTTCTAAGGTATATTTTTGAAATTTTTTTTTATCTATGATTTTGAAATTATCTTTTTGATAAAGATTTTGAAAAGAATTGAAACTTTTTTTTTTCAAATTTTATAATAATTAAGGTTGAAATTCGAATTGAAGCTATGGCAGCAGCACAAACAGAGAAAACAAAAGGTGATTTTAGTAGCAAACGTCAGGTACCATGCGAAGATATTCAGATTCGTTTTCCAGTACCTGAAGCATGGATTTATTTGTTTCGTGAAGAACGACGTTGGGGTGTTGGATCGGTGCATGCTAAAGTAAGACGTCCGGGTAAAGTTAAGGTAATAAAATTAATATTATTTAGTGTCATTTTTAATTATATAAAAAAAAATTTTTCAAAAGTATTTTTATTTTTATTAAAATTTTTTTTTTATTTTTTGATAACTTTATTTTATCTAAAAACTAAAAAAAATATTATGTAATTTTGATGAAATTTAACAATTTCAGAATCTCAAAGATCGTCTAATGGGTACAGTACACAATGTTGAAAATTCACTCATTGAAGCAGGTATTGGTGAAGCAAAATATGAACATGTTTTTCGTGCTTTAGTATGGCGTATTCCACGTCTTCCAGAAAAATTTCACGCTGCATACAGGGAGCATTTATTGCGTTGTCGGTTTGAACTTTCATCATTTGATTTAATGCCTGAAACATTTGCGCCAACATGTGATGTGGAATTTACAATGCCACTTGCAATGATTAGTAATACAGTGGTACGATCAGTTAGCGTTGAACAACATGATGATAGCGATCGAGTGGAAAAATTTGTGCGATATGTGGCAAAATGTACTTATAAAGTTTGTATTTCATTTATTTTATTAAAAATACTTTTATATTTAATAAATTTTTAATTCGTTTAATTGATGAAATTAATTAATGTTTAATTTTTAGAATTCATTCTTTTCTTTTTTTTAATAATTTTCTAATGTTTTTTTTTTAAAAAAATAATTTAATAATTTTATAAAGATTTTTTTCAAAAGTAAGAAATCTTGAAAATATGCTATTCAATTGAAATATTATATACTTATATTTTGTTTCTCATTGCATCTTGAAATGTGTCATGCATTTTAAATTTTTTTTTATTATCTTCAGGTTGAAATAGATTATGTTCAGTGTTCTGATTTGGATATTGATCCTATATTTGATCCAACTACAGCTAATCCAGCAGCTAATCAGGAAAGCATACCTGAACAGCATAAAGCAATGTTTAATCCGGATGAAGTGAACGAATTGCATGCAGGGTAAAGTTGTACTTTAAAGAATTTTTTAACGATACTTTTTCTTTTTTTTTTTTAATTTAAAACATTCTTTATTAATTTCATTGATATGTCTTATCACTTAAACAATAATCAAGCAGAAAAGTGTTACAATTTAAATTCATTGTTTTTTTTTAAATAATTTTAGATATTTAAAATTTTAATTTTAGATATAGGATCGATTTTTCTGATGCAGAAATTGGTGCTAAAAGGCATAATGATGCTGATTCGAGTAGTGATGAAGAAGAAAATCGTAGTGCAATGCCAATGATTCAGATCGATCCGAAGCAGTACGGTTATTGATCAATTTATTGTATAGGAAACTTTTCAGAATTTAATTTAAATTTTGCTACTATTAATTGGAGCATTTTTTTTTTTTTGGTATTTGATAATTTGAGTAATTTGAAATTTCAATCAAATTAAATTACAATTAAAGATGAATATGAACTTAAAAATTGTTGATGAATTGTGGTAAATTAAAAGAAAAATAATTGTTTTGCGAGTTTTTGACATTAAAAATTATCACTAATCACTATTTTCATTTTTATAACTTTTGAATGAAACAATAATTTGCATTGTTATTTATATTAAATAATTGTAATCAATGATTAGAAGAATTTTTTTTACATTCTTTTTTTCCTTTATAATTTATATTTTTTAAATAAATTCATTAATTTATAATTTATATCTTTTTTCTTTGTAATTTATAATTTATATTCTTCAAAATTTAAAAGATATAAATTATCCTTGTATTTTCCCAAGAAATGCCTAATGTTACGCATTATTTATTATCCTTTTTAATTTTTTCCTTTTTTTTCCTGTTTTGGATTTTGCTTTTTCATATTGAAAAACAAGAAAAGAATTATAAGCAACTGATAAATGCCTTCAACTGACTTTTAAAATTCAGTGAAAATTCAGAATTAAATTTATTAAAAGCAAAAACTTAAGAGCATATTATTAAAAGTAAAAAATTTCAAATTTCATTGAATAAAGTTACTTATATTTAGACAGGTGTTTCGCGTGTCACTTTTAACTTATTTTTGATAAAATGCTTCTCTTTCCTCTTACTTATTATCAACGTTCTTAAATCATTAATTTATCTGTTCGATTAGAACTTTCAAATTTACAATTTGACAAAAAATTTGAATACGTAATTTCTCGAGATCCCATGACAACTTTTTCCATCTAAGTATTATTGGATTTTCTTATTTTTGTACTCTAACTTATTTCTTCTTTTGTTTGTAAATTCAATTTACTTAATCTTTGTTCCACTGTAAAGTATCCAGTAAACAATTCATGCATGCTGTAACAAGAGAATAAATTTTAAATCTACTTGATAAGTTCTGAAGTGATATTTGTTAAAGATAATTTGCATAATTCAAAGTTGACCTCTAACATGCTTCTAGGATATTTTTTCCTTTAACTTTTGCATGAAATTAATGCACAATATTTCCTTAATTTCATTAAAACTTCCCTTTATTAATAATTTTGGATGCTTTTACTCATTCTAATTGTATACATTAAATATATTATTATCAATGTAAATCTTGCAGCTTGCATCAGGCCGAAATAAATTATTTTTTGCATTTGTTGATTTTCATTAATCGATAAGATGTACTATGCAACTTCATTTATGATTTCAAATACTACAGAACATAATCATGACATGATAAAAAATATGGTATAATAAAATTGATAGCAACAAGTGAGTATTTATTTTTAAACTTTATAATTTAAAATTTCTCTACTGAGCAACACGTCAGAATGGTAAGAGTAGGAAAAAAAAATTACTTCTGATAGTACTTTTCTGAAATTGTTAAATTATTAAACAGTAGGCACCTTATAAAAATTATTAGCAAATATATTTTTACAAAAAAAGAAAGGAAAAAAAAAACAACAAAGCTGAAATTAGAACTACGCTTTTTAAGTTTCATAAATATAACACATTCGATAATAAATGATTTGAATAGGAAAAATTTCGTGAAATTAATTTCGATTAGATAATCACAAGAAATCTCTCCTCTCAAATTAGCAACTACTGTCTCATTATTTACATTTTATATATTTAATGTGAAATATTTCCAATTTAAAAATGGTAATTCCACCAAAGAAAAAGGATTTGGATCAATTCTGTGTGCATTCGATCGAATTTGGTGCTTAGAATGAAGAGGTCAACCAATGCATATTATTATCAGTTCAAGCATATCATTGGAGAGGTCAATGAGGACATGTCGCGCATTTTAGAGGAGGGAATAGAGGTCATCCTTTTCATTAAGAGACAGCAAAGATTATTCTCCATCTAATAAGTGGTATACTGATTATAATGATAAGAAAGATATATAGTGGCATAGCTAATATTATAGTGATAAATGTATCCATGTCTAGGGTATCAGTAATATTACCCGAGATTTGCCTTGTTTCAATCATTGATTCCTGCAATGATTTGTTGTATTTTGATAATACTATCAGGAAAGTCATTTCAGATGCTTTAATTCAGAATGATTAGGCATTTATGCTATTAGTTTAGCTTCTGAGTTGAAAAGGATCAGCCGCAACTGATAAAAGAGATCTGAATTCATTTTAGGGCATTGATTTTTAAACTTATTCACTTTATGTCGCATGGTTGTGCATTGTAACATTCTGATAAGTGATAAGTGTCTTATAAGTGATAAGCTGTGTACATGTCTGATAAATAAAATGAAATAAATACCTGTCGTGTAATAATCAATGCTAAAGCATTTACAGGCAGTCTCTTATGTTCAACTGATGGAAATATTCGAGAGTCGTTGAATTCCAAAGTTTTCATAAACTCAGTCTTAATTTTGTTGTCTCTATTAATAAACATTCACTCTGAATGACGGAATTGCTCGTCAAAAATTTGAAACTTATCCGAAAATTTTGCTAATACTAATATTTTAAAATGATTTAAATCTTTTCAAAGCATTCTTTTTAACACCATTATGATTTACTCATTACTCGAAATAAATAAATTACCTTATTAAAATCGTTTGGTAGTAAATGCACTGTCATTCGAAATGACAGAGTTAAAATTTCAAAGATGCAAAATTGTGCTATTGTCGTTTGCAACACATAACGAATTTTGCTTCCAACAATGCAAATTAGCATGCGTTCAGATTCAGACTTCAATGCGTCCTCCTTTGTTAATGACAGAAACCATTCTAAATTTAAATTGAATTTAAACGAACCTCTGATATAGTACTAAAAAAGTTTAAATTAAAAATAGCGATTGCTAATAAGTAATCAATTTAAGCAATTCAGTTTTTAAGTTTGTTTTGTAGAATTTTGCATAAAAAAATGATTAATAATGCATTTACTTGGATACTGATCGTCAATATCATTTAATGTAATTATTTGTCCAAGGTAATCAATAACTGCTAGATTACTTAATGATGTTAAACCAGAAGTTATATCTTTGTAACCATATCGTCGTAGTTTAAGTTTTAAGCCTTCGTCAACAAATAGTGTTTCGTTTGTTATGCTATTATCATTGTAACAAAGATAAAATAATTTGTTACTCTGTCTTGCATAGTAATACCTGTGACAAACATGAAATTTCAATATAGAAAATTATTTCAATTTTTTCAGAAGCATCCAATTTATGGAAAAAAAATTTGTTGTTATCGAGAATGATAATCGAATGAATGAAAATGTAATAAATAAATAATAATCAAAATTTTTGATTTAAAGCAAAAAAAGATTTTAAAAAATATTTTGACTACGTTAATATAATAAATTTTACGAGATGAAAATAAAAGATACAATTTTCGTTACCAACTTAGGATGATAACAATGACGAATTCGTACAAATTTAGCCATTGACCAATATATTTCACAATAGAGAATGTTATTATAAATTGCCCAGTTGCAAGAAGGTAGTATAATCCGAGCTTTAGGAGCATCAATGATGAAAAAATTCACTTTCTAAAATATTTTGTTTATTCATAAATGAAATTAATTTATCTAAACGAAATGTTAAATTTATTTTTATCTTTAATTTAGCATTGTGTTTGTTTTTTTTTTAGTTATTATTTCATTCAGTTTTAAATTTCTTTCAAAATTTGCATTTTAAGCAAACCGTTCCTATAATTTTTCTAAAAATTTTAAAACAATTTCAAACTAATTAAGGAAGAGTGAATTAATGACTTGTTTTGAATTTTTTAAAATTGACATATTGATGGAAACAAGATGTACAGTAGCTGTCGAGCAATCAAAATGTTTTATTTCTGCAAGGAATCACATCTGTTCACATATTCAAAAATAATAGCTACTCAATCAGAATTAGCTTTATCAGCTAAGAAGTAATTATTTGATAAACAAATAGCTTCAAGCACTAAAGTTTAGGAAATGTTTAGATTTTATCAAATATCTTATGAAAAATTTTCTTCATAAAATTTATTCGCTTTGAATTTTTCATATATAAAAGAAATTGAGCACAAAAGATTATTAATTATTAATGCATTACGTTTTGAAAGCATAAAATTAGGCACAAATGCAAAAAAATAATGCAATTGAATAATTGAAATTTTTGGACAACAAATTTCTTCTGGAACATGATAGAACAGAGATAAATTTTGATCTTATTTTGTTTGATAGTTTCAAATGACAAATAGTTCATCATTTTTGATTATAAAGAAATTTTTTTTTTTCTTTTAATGCTATATTTTAATTTTTGTTTGATAAAGAAGAAGTTAAATTTACTTGCGTCAATGGTTTTTAAATCAGATAGAAAGTTAGCACTCGAAAAGACTACCATATCAACGATGAAAATTGCACCACCTTGTGTAATACCGTATACACCATAATTGGAAGCGATTTAAAATAAATTAAATCTTATATCAAATTTTTTAAAATCAAATTTTATTTGTTCATCAGTATAAAACACAAAATTGATAAACAAATGGAGTAGTTTGTGATTAAAAAATCATAGAAATGAAATTAAACCTTGTTATGAAGTGGTATATTGCAATTAGCATCAGCACATCCTGGTTCTAAACTACAAAACATTGAATTAAGTATAAAAGTTAGAATAATCCAGCAACAATCAAATGCTACCGCCATCAACAGCCAAAATTATGCGAAATGAATTTTGAGAATTTTAACAAAATCTGCAAAATAATGATTGAAATATATTCCTGCTAATGTAAGAAGAAAAAATTTTCAAAATTTAATTTGTTAAAATTAAATATTTAACAATTGTCAACATATAATACTACATTCAACTTCCTTCAGATATGTTGCAGAAAATTTATTTATTTCTGCAAAAGAAACTTCAGTTTCAATTTAAATTTAATTTAAATGAAACTTTTTTTTAATTTAAAATTAACTTAAGCAAAAGAAAAAAAAGTGAAATGTTTAAAATTTTTTTTTCTGTACTTATAAGTGAATTATGAGCATTGCTCAGGAACTCTTTTATTCTTATACATATCAAATAAAGTTTATCATTTATTGTGCTCAATGATTATTTCATCGTTTTGAACATATCATTTAATCGTTGAACTAAAAATTCAAATAAGCTTATATCAGTTTGCAAAAATTGTTCATATAAGCTTAAAATAATTTGTATTATTTTAAAGCATAATTCATGCCAATGTTACATAAATTAGTATTGGAAAAGAAAATATTAGCACTTAAATACTGAATTAACAAATTTTGTGCATTTTAAATATATGCAAAAAAATTTCCATATTCATTAAAATTAATCAATATAATGCAGTTATCAATTACAGCTAATTATTTTGAATTATTTAGAAAGCTCAATGGATTAATTCATTATCAGTGATAAAACTGTGTGTGTATGCTTTTTTTTTTTATACATAACAAATTCTGATATAAGCAAAATTCTAATAAAATTTGATCCAAAATTTGATCATTAAATTATCTGATAAAGAAGCATTTTTTGTTTTCTGCTTTGTAACTGAATTAGTTGATTTCAACTTTCTTTCCTTTGGCTAATTTCTATAAATTTATTTCATAGATCCTCTGCTGTTGACAACTGTGGTTTTCTTTTTTTTTCATTCTAGAGTTTAATATTTTAAGGTTATAACTCTATTTCTGAATTTTTGATCACAATTGATCAAAAATCAAATTTGCAACGATTAAATCCAGAAAAGAGATCAAACTTTGTAATAATACACTTAATTTATATTTAATTTGTATATTAATTTTAATTTATATATTAATAAAAGTATTTCACCCTTATAAAATTAAAATTAGGCAATTTCTGTCGTTAAATAAAAACAAATAAACTTCAAAAATGACAATATTATTTTCTTTTGGATTTGTCAAAAGCTTTACAGTGTTCTATTTTTCATTTTCTTTCTGATATATATATATATATCATAATATTCTATGTCCTAATCTATTTCATGATATGACTGTACGCAATTTCAATTTCTTAAATTAGATTTTTAAAATTAGAAACTGTTATGCACATCTTTATATGTTGGATATGATCGTCACCTGTGAATTTATGAAATTTAAAATAGTTCGTTTCTATTTTTAAGTGTAATTTTATTGATAGCAAACATTACTGAAAAATTCTTTGAGAACAAATAGAAAAGCAAATTTATTTTCAACTTATAAAAGTAAAAAAAAAAAGTAATTCACAACTATTATCAACATAGACGACACGTTTTCAAACATTTTTTAATTAATGATTTGTAGAATGAATTTGTGCAAAATCCATTAGCTGCCCATGCGACACATCTGCAAAAGATGAATTATCATTGAAATAAGAAATTGAATTTAATTTGATAATAATAAAAAAAAATGAGAAATATGCTTCACATTTTTGGATAAATTCTTTAAACAATGAAGCAATAGAAAACTAGAAAAGTTTAAACAACCTTTGATCTGTATCAATGCATTGTTGATCAGTTGAGTCAGGCTTTACTGTTGATGATTCTGAATGACAAAAGCCGCATGTTTCGTTGCATGATAATTGCATCAGAGGTTTTAGCTTTGGATCATTACAGTTATCTTTTAATGACGAACAATATTCTGTCGTATCGAAACAAATATCTAGAAAAAAAAGTCTTAAAAGTCTTAAAAACAGTGAATACGAAAAGGAAAGAAAGCCAATATATTGAGCAAATATAGCGACGAACTTAATGGTCGACAAACATTGCATGTTTGAGGACATAATCGTTTTGATTCTTCATTTTCACAACTTGATTTCAAAATGCGACAAATTGCGGCATTACTATCAATACATTCTTGACCACATAAACCGCATGTTTTAGGACATTCTACACTAATTAGCGACAGGAGTACTCCATTTTTTGTTTTGCATAAACCACTTGTTTTCATTCTCTCACAGTTTAAACGAACTGAAAATGAATTCTATTGAATTCTGTGAAGTGCATGTGTATTAATTTGCAAAAAAAAACAGAAAAATTCAATTAAATTTTTAGAAAAGAATTAAATTAATTTTATATAATGATTTCCTGAAATAATGTAAAACATTAAAATTATGACCTGTTTTATGTTAATTAAAACTGATTTTTTTTTTTAGAAATTGACTTCATTAAGTTGATAATTTTTATAATTAGTGAATTACCTCCACGATCGTTACATTTAAAACGTGGTAACTTGCAGCATGTTTCACAGCTTTTTGCACAATGTAAACCTTTAGCTGATAGCCTTTGCTTATCACCACCAACATAGCAGTCATTTTCTCTAAAATTAAATATTTGTTGCAAATTTTGCAATCTAAAATTTTTGTTAAGTGTGTAAGTTATTTGCTAACTTATTTTCAATTCCATCACAGAATGGTGAATCGTAATCATTCTCGCAATCACATTGATCTGCTTGAGAATTTGTCGTTTGTATTATCAGCAGACCAACAATTAAAGATAATAATATTAAAGCCATATTAGCCTTTAGTATTATTTTTTCACAATCAAAAGATCTTAAAAAAAAATGAATGAACTTTTGTAATAGATTCACATATCGCATTACACTTCCCATTTTTTCATTTTAAAATTATAAAATATGAAATTAAATCAATGTAAAATAATAACAATTAAGCAAGCATATCTATTCAAGTGCTATCTGTTCAATAAAATTTATTACATATTATAATGTCTAAAAGCATTCAACGAATATTACAATTGCTATTATAGAATGAAAAAAAGATTTGAGAAATGATAAGTAACAGAAAATCAGGTGACAATCAAGTGACAAAATGAAGTTGATATTCCGTATCTAATTCTATTATTCATTTTTGAGATGGATGGATGGATGGAATGTAACCGATTATAAATATAATTGCTAAACTAAATATACGAGTCTGTAATTTCATAAAAAACAGGTGAGAAAACAATATGCAAAACATAATGAATTATTAAAATTATCAATTCTTTATTAGTATTGTTAGTTATAAAATGGTTTGTAATTGCAGAAAAACAACACCTGAACCATCTGTGGAAATATTCAACAATAGGAAAAGCCTCGACTGATACATCAATATCACAACACAATGGAAATTCTCCATTATCTTGTTTGTCATTTTGAAAAGAAGAAAAAAAAAAAGGATAGTAAAACAACTGCTACCATCTAATATCAATTTTAACATGTTTTTTTATAACAATTTACTATATATTATTTGCTATAAAGGCTTTGTCATTATGTCACGCAATACGTCAATATATTCTAATCATCAAGATTTTAAATAAGAGATAATAGAGAATATATAAATAATTGAATTACTTAAAGGAGAAATTAATTAAATATTTAAAATAATTAATAAAAACTATAATGCAATTAAGATAATTCATAAGTTTACTATCTAATAAGTGATAAGCTGTGTGCATATTTGATAAATTAAATAAAATAAATACCTGTCGTGTATTAATAAATGGTAAAGCATTTGCCGGCAGTTCAACTGATGAAAACATTCGAGATTCGTTGAACAAAGGGAAAAAAGACACTATCTATCTAAAATGAATTTAGATCCTTTTTACCAGTTGTGACCGATCCCTTTCAACTCAGAAGCAAACCTAATAGTATAAATGCTTAATCATTCTGAATTAAAGCTTCTGAATTGAATTTCCTTTAGCTTTATCCAAATAAAACAAATCATTGCAGGGATCAATGATTGAAACAAGACAAATCTCGGATAATACTATTGATACCTAGACATGGATAAATTTATCCCTATAATATTAGCTATGCCACTATATATCTTTCCTATCATTATAATCAATATACAATTTATTAAATGGAGAATGAAGTTAATCTTTGAATCATCTTGTCTTCTCTCTTTGATTATTGCAGAATTGCATTTGTTTTTGTTCGTCACTCTTAATGAATGAAATCATTTTATTTTGCCCTCTAAATGCGCGACATGTTCTGATTGACCTCTTCAACTGATTTCAATAACAATATGATTGACTGAAATCTTCATTCTATCTCAATTTAAATTGAAGTTACAAAATATGTGGAAGGAATCCTTTTACAACAGCTTTGATTATTAAAGTATTAAAGGATAGGCGCCAATCCGATCAATTATACATAGAATTGACCCTGAATGATCTTACTTTGAAGGAATGAACATTCTCACTAACTCCTCGTATATTTTTTAAAAAAATGAATTATTTATGTATGAAATTGTAAACATTTAAGTTATAAACAACAGAATGTTATCAGTTGTTGATTTATTTAAATAGTTTTCAAATTTAAATGTTTTATATTGAATGCATAAAGTGTAAATAAATGGGACAATGATTGCTGTTAGATTTTCTTGAGTTCGAGAGAATTTCATGAATTAGTGGATATCTGGTTCAAACCAGATTTTTCGACTTGAAAGCTTAAATCTGTTGAGCTGATACAAGTCATTCTTTTACAGTTCTGATACTGCAAAAGTAAACGAAAATTTTGCAAAATTAATTTTTATTAAAACGCACTTTTAACATACAGAGAAAATAACTTTATTAACAGTTCAAGTACTGTGCAAAACAAATAAAATAATCAAATATTTGAAAATCAAATACAGCAAAAACAAAAAACTAACCATATAATTTAATGTTCTAGACACTTATTCCTTTAATATCGATACGCACCTTACGAACCTTTTTCAGAACCTTCCTTTGCGAACAGCAAAGCCAATGTCACTCTCCTCCTTCTACAAAACTTGTGACATACCTGAATAAATCTTATAAACGTATTTAAAAAGAAAAGAAAAAAAATAAATATTCATTGTAGTTAGCGGCTTATAGAAGCATTATATATTAATAAAAATCAAATAATTCTTGACATATCCGAATTAGGAGCAAAAATTCGAGCTCAGGATACAGATCATAATATTCTTCGCAGATAATTTCTTCAATATTCAATAGAACTCTTCAAATTATTGAAGAAATAATCAGGGAAGACGCTTATTATGTCAGTTATAATTTATTAGTTATAACTTATTATATTATGTCACCAAGAAGTATGGGATGAAGAGATTTTAAAAACAACAACTAATTTAGCATTGCATTTGTCTGACAAAAAAATGGCAAACCTAGTATGGGAGTAAGATTCGTCACATTACTATGAATTTTTTTTTATTGGGCATAGGAATTGTTTATGACCGGCGTATTTGAATTTTTCTTTCCGCACTTTTGATGTCGTACACTTGGCACATTTCCAATTTGAAACAAGGAAATGAAATAAAATGTCTTACATTGAGGGAATGGACATTCTCATTAACTCATTCGCATATTTTTTAAAAAATGAACGAAAGGTTAAGAAATGATAACACGCTTTAAGTCATGAAATGACAACACGCTTTGATATAAAACTTTTATCAGATGATTTATTACAATAGATACTTGAAAAGTTTAACACAGTAAAAAAATTTTCATTTGCTGATAGAAATGTTTGAAATCAAAAATAAATTAAAATTTGGAGTTCTATAGCAATATACAATAGCAAGGACCAATTAGGAATGAATCATAAAAGCGTAAATGTATTTCAATATTCAAGGAAGAAAACATTTGCAAGTTTTGAGTTAAAATTCAGCTTGCATATAAATTAGAAAAAAAATCAACATTTGATGAAATAAAATTTCAATGAAAAAGAAAATTGCCAAAAAGAAAATTATTTAAAATCATACTGATGCACCATAATGAAATATAAATGTATATATATATATATGCAATACCAATCTCAACTGAATTCTAAAGCAAGCAATTGAAAATATTCAGCAAAAACGAAGTCAAAAAGCATTGATGACATACTGACTAATAATTGATTAAAAGGATGAAAAGTTATATCCTGTTCAGCTAGTAAATCAAAAAGTCTTTTTGTAAACAGCTCCTATAACTGCACTGTTTTTAGTCAATACAGTACCTGGTGGATGCCATAATGATAAAAAAATTTAGACGACGATGAGAAATACAAGGAATACAACATGAAAGAATTGATAAAAAAATCTTATTAAATTGCGAAAAAATCAGAAGTGGTAATTTGTACGTAGCCTTTATTTGACTATTCATTCCTAAGATAATCAATAAAAATCTGCATTAATTAATAGAAATAATTGAGAGAAGAAAAAAAAAATGTTTATGTAGAAGAACGATAATACACGTAGTACAAAGATGTTAGATTGAGATTTAGTAGAGACCAAAGGAATATTCGAAGAAAAAAAAAGGATGGAACAGTCTTCATATATTAGATGAAAAAAAAAAAAAAAACCTTCATGAGCGCGAAAGAATAAAGACTCTCGAGCGCGAAAGATTGCAGAGAAATACTATTATTATGAATGTTCATTTTCGTCACTATTTTCGTCTCTTTTTGTTGTGTCAGAATTATGAGTATCAGGGAAAGTATGGGATATTATGGGTTAAAAGAAAGTATCAGGGAAAGTATGGGTTATTTAATGATTAGCATAAATGGAATTATGTGCAGGTAAATTAAAATATGTAAATCAGTGTTTTTTTACCATGTGTTCTTTTACCATAAGTAAATAATAGTTATGTCGCTGGTCTTTGTGCTTAATGAATATTTGATAAGTTTGCTAATTTCATAGAATTGCGGCTCCCATGGAGGATCAAGAAATCGAAGTGTTTTTCGAATACCTTAAAAGGTAGCCGGAGATGTACCGGATTTTGCAAAGGTACGTGAGCAGGACTGTTCAGGTAATTTTCACTTTGTCTTCCTCTTTCTTTAAAGTTTGTTCCACCCGCTGTATGGTCTTTTATCACGTGTTTTTTGCATGAATTTAAAGATGGCAGCGAATTTTATAGTCTTTTGTTGTATTTTGCTTGCATAATGTCTGCAAATTCCATGCAGGCGTTTCTGATTTACCGCTGTTTATTTATGTGCTGCTGTAAGGGCATATCATCAATTCAAACACTAAAGTGAGTCATGCCAGCGTTAACGCTTGCATTTTTTTCTAAATCATTCATTGCAACACTGCTTATAACCATTGACTGCGTGTAAAATAAGCTAAAAGCGTCAAAAAAGTTGTCGTCTTTTATTTTACCAATATGCATGCACGCACAACAACCAATATGAATGAATGTGCCACGTTTATTTTGATTACAGTAATGGTTATTGCAGAGATGAAATTAATCATCAGAGACAAAATTAATCAACCCATAATGTACAGAGGAAAGTCATCGATACGAGATAACTAATTACTATAACATAGCAGCGGCAGCAGCAACATTCCGTCGGTACTCCAGCATTGCCAGTTGCAGCGCCTATAGTTAAAAAAATTCATATGAACATTTGGCTGAAGGAAAATGTATTGCACCCACTCATTCATCTCTGCAACAACCATTACTGTAATCAAAATAAACGTGGCACATTCATTCATATTGGTTGTTGTGCGTGCGTGCATATTGGTAAAATAAAAGACGACAACTTTTTTGACGCTTTTAGCA